ACAGGTTGGAAAATCAAGTGTGAGGATTCTGCCTACTTCTAAGTATATCTATCCCAAATATACCTTCCGGGTCTGTGAAAATAACCACAGGATGAGTTTGGGGACCTACTGTGAGTCGTACTTCATCCAAAACTCAATTACTTGACCTCCGTAAGCCTCTACTTAACAGGAGGGCCGCAATGTTTCTTGGGGTCTCCCAGAATCAGCATCAATACAGAACCAGTATTCAATAAACTCTGGAATGTCTGATTATTTTCTTTCCTTTGGTGTGCAGTCACCCCTATACAAGGCTGTAGGTCCTTCTGGGGCACAACTGGAGAAAGTCTAACAGTAATAGATGTTCTATCAAGGTCCTTCCTCAATGAAATGTGGTCATTTCTTTATTCAAGTGGTTCTGGATATGCAAGTTTGCTCAAGTTGGAAATCAGTTCACAGGCTGAAATCTCTCTCTCTCTCTCTCTCTCTCTCTCTCTCTCTCTCTCTCTCTCTCTCTCTCTCTTTCCCACAATCAAATGTAGTCTTTCCTTCACCTGTTTAAGAACTTTCCCACTTAAAAAGACCATTAAACAGCAATGCAGTAGGCTTCTTATCTATTCCATACCTAGAAACACATTGCTTGATTAGCTGGTACCAAAGGTAATGCTACCATAAGGTTCACTTTACCTGTTCTGACTGTTAGAATTAGGCCATTATCGATATTGCTTTGCCTACGCTGCCCATTAAGATAACAATCCCTTTGCCTTGGAGACTCAGTGATGTCACCTGGCTCAAAGCTACTTTGGGCTCCAATTAAGCCCAGTGCATTAACTTATCCAACTGAGAAGCAGCATCTCCAGCCCTAAGGGATGGCACAAAGAAAGGGGTGACAGCACACTTCAGGTGTGCTGGTGCCCCCTCACCATTGTGCCTCTTCTAGGATTAGCGAAAGGCATGTCTTAAGGACCTTCGAATTACGGTGGATTAGGTTTCACACCGCATGCCTGTTTACTCCAGCACTGCAATTTCCCTAAGCCTTAAAAACCCTTCATCAACACAAGTCAGGGACAGCAGGCATCTCCAACTCCTTTTCAGAGAGCCATCTTTCGATAAACGCTTCAGCCAACAGTTCAGACTTTTGACATTCTTTTATAAAACTCAGCGCTAGCTTCCATATTAAACCCAGAATCTCCACTCAGTAAGCCTGTATCAAGAAACTCAGCCTGATCCAGTTTGATGTTCCTCCCACCATGATGCCGCACCCATAAAGTCCATTCCCACACATATTCCCCAGACTTCTATTTCAAAGAATCAGCAAACTCATTAAGCCCTTTAGGAGTGTAGCCCACTTCATGGACCACACATTCCACCTCCCTCCTAGGAGCCCACTTAGCCTTAAGTCTGGTTATAGGTCTAGGGGCAACTCTTCCTGGGCCCGGAGATGTAAATATTGTCTTGCCTGGCATATCCTTTAGAGAAGGTCACTGCTGATAAGGATTAATTTCCTCAAAGGAGGAAAAGGCTATTGTCTTAAGTAGAGTTATTGCTGCTATGGTTAAAACACCATGGCCAAAAGAAACTGGGGGACAAAAGGGTTTACGTCACTCACAGTTTCATATAACAGTTCATCACCCAAAGCAATGAGGGCAGGAACCCCCACAGGGCAGGAACCTGGAGGCAGGAGCTGACGTAAAGGCTACCGCACAGAGGGGTGCTGCTTACTGGATTGCTCCTGTGGCTCGCTCAGCCTGCTTTCTTATAGACCCCAAGACCACCAGCCCAGGGATGGTACCACCTACAGAGGGCTGGGCCCTCTCCCATCAATAAATAATTAAGAATATATTCTACAGGTTTGCCTACCACCTGACCTTAAGGAGGCATTTTTGAAATTGTGATTCCTTTCTCTCAGACGACGTTAGCATGTGTCAAGTTCACATAACACTAGCCGGCACAGCAGTATTTCAGAGGATGGGGTGTGGGTGCATTTTCTGCTGAGGGTGGAGAAACTACTTCCTCAGGTGAGATAAACTTCTGAGGATTTGAGGGTCACAATTCTCAGTCTCAATATGGTCTTCCAATTCATCTCTATCCCAAGTTACAAGATCCCATTCTTTACCAGTTAATATCCTTACTTTTAATTGCTGATACCCTCCAAAACTGGAACTTGAATTTTTGCTGTAATTCAGCCAACTTTATAGGCTATGGTTTGGTCTTCCTTGAGCTCTGTAGCTGCTGAAAGATTCTCTTCCAGGGCTCACTTTGAAATGTTTGTACACATCTGGGAAAGGTCAGTCTTATCACTGAGCTGTTGCTGTCCTTCAGCATATTCTGAGATGCTCTAAGTGGGATAATTGTATTATGCAGTTTACTCTTTTCCCTTGTCATTTTATTCATGAATTCAGGAACAGCCAACCAGTGTCATCATTTTCCTTGCTTTTTCAAGTTGTCAAAAGTTTTAGATATAGAATCACAAAAACTGCTATCTCTCACAATCAGCATAACCAAATACATTTATCTCCTTAAGTTTATATACATCTTTACTATGTCTCTATTTCACACCATTGGCTTTTAATACTCTGAGATTCTAGGAGAGGTTTCAGTAGTTGGAGAGATGTCAGGAACTGTAGGCACTGGAAAATTGGAAAGCCTATTCCAGATACCTAAAAAAAATTCATCCTTATACTTCAGTTGCTCTAGAACCACTTCTGGTGGCAAAATCTGTATTAGTCAGCATTCTCTAAAGGAACAGAACTTAAAGAATGAAGCGAAGAAAAAAGTCCCTCACAAGTGTACCCAGCCACTTGAATTTCAGTTAATTCCAGATGCTGTCAAGTTGACAACCAAAACTAGCCATCACATAGACTATTATAACCATGACATCCTACTTCTTCATTCCGTACCCAAGGAAACCAAGACCTAAATGTTCCTGAATGCTATAGCTGGTACTCAGAACCCTTCTCAGTACTATCTGAAGTAGACTCTCCTTTCTTGCTTTCTACATTTTGTGTGTGTGTGTGTGTGTGTGTGTGTGTGTGTGTGTGAGAGAGAGAGAGAGAGAGAGAGAGAGAGAGAGAGAGAGAGAGAGAGAGAGAGCGCGAGCGCGCGAGTGAGCGCGCATTCCCAGACCCAGAACCTTGTACACACTAGAAATGATCTCTACCACGGAGCACCAGCTTTTCCCCTTCCATCATTTTAATTACTATTCCCGAAGAAGCCCCGCCCCAAAAGATTGTCACTCAGACATAGCAAATCTTTGGTCTTTATCCCAATCATATATCCACAAAAGTAAAACTCATCACATACATCTGAAAGTTTTTAAAGTAATTAAAATTAGTCTCAAGGCAGCTTGCTCATAGGAACCCATTTGGCTATTTTGGTTTTCCTTATGGTTGTTTAAAAGAACATAAAACATCGAATATATTACTTTTTCACTAAATGAATTATTAATTATTCATTTCTGTGCATTAGGTTTTCCTACAAACGTTAGTTTTCTATTTATTTTTGTCATATGGTTTACTATAAAGTTGAGGAATGAGTGGCAATTTTTTTAACTGTGGGAAGAATTTCACTAATTTCTGCCATAATTATAAAGCACTTTTCTTCATCTATTCTTTAGTAAGACAATAGCTTAAAAACAATGTATTTCAGCTTCAAAAATCTTATTTGAAATTAGCAAAATATCAACCCAAATCTGCTCTTATAAAACCAGAACAGAAAGACAGACTTTGGAACACTCAGCCCTAAATGGGATGTCTCCATTAAATTCCTCCCTTCGAAGTTCAGGGAACCCGAAGGAAGAGGAGGTGGAAAAAAATGTAAGAGCCAAAGGGTATGGAGGACACCAGGAGAACAAGGCCGTCTAAATCAGCATGAGGAAAGCTCATATGAACTCAAGACTGAAGCAGCATGCACAGGGCCTGCGCAGGTCTGCACCAGGTCCTCTGTGTATACATCATGGCTTTCAGTTTAGTGGTTTTATGAAATTCCTGGTCTGCAGATGAGTGGATGTCTGGTTCTTGTGCCTTCTCTCAGGCTCTTTTCTATCTGTTGATTTGTCTTGTCCAACTCGAAAGTAACAGTTTTTCGTTTATCTTACTACACTTTATTTTTATATATTTTATTACTAACTCTTAGAAACCTGTTATTAATATAATAAAGGCAGAAGGAGAGTGTATTTAAAAAGGAGGGGAGGTAGAGGAGGAGCTGGGAGTTGAGGGAGGAGAAACTGTAATCTGGTCATAGTATGTGGGAAAAAGAGTCTATTTTCTTTTTTTCCCCCTTTTTTAAAATTTATTTATTAAAGATTTTTTCTCTTCCCCACCACCGCCTCCCATTTCCCTCCCCTCCCCCAACCAAGTCCCCCTCCCTCATCATCCCAAAGAGCCATCAGGGTTCCCTGCCCTGTGGGAAGTCCAAGGACCACCCACATCCATCCAGGTCTAGTAAGGTGAGCATCCAAACTGCCTAGGCTTCCACAAAGCCAATACGTGCAGTAGGATCAAAAACCCATTGCCATTGTTCTTGAGTTCTCAGTAGTCCTCACTGGACCCAGCAATACCACTCTTGGTATTATACCCAAGAGAGGCCTTATCATACAACAAAAGTATATGCTCTACTATGCTCATAGCAGCATTATTTGTAATAGCCAGAACCTGGAAACAACCTAGATGCCCTTCAATTGAAGAATGGATGAAGAAAGTATGGAATATATACATATTAGAGTACTACTCATCAGTAAAAAACAAGAACTTCTTGAAGTTTGCAGGCAAATGGATGGAAATAGAAAAGAGTCTATTTTCAATAAAAGGAAAAAAACATATTTCCTTTAAAAAACAAAACCAGAGCATCATCCTATTGTTTATCCTCTATCTCACAAGGTGGTCACCTAGAAGTGATACTGAGATGCTCACTCTATTTTATAGTCATGTGGAGTGGGACGATGGATGTCAGAGGTAAGTCGAGTGATGGAAGAAGAATCAAACCCTTGGCCCTTGAAAAAAAAAAAAAAAGACAGCATTGCTTACCTGAGACGGGAGTCCTTGAAGGTGTCCAGATAGGCGGGGTAACTCCACTCCACCCTGCTCCCTTTACAGCGGAGCTCTACAGTTTGCCCTGCCGTCAGACTCATCACAGCACCAGGTTTCTGGAAGCGACCGTTGTCCGTTGCTTGCATCATGATGGACTGGCTCTTTGGTGTGGAGTCAGCTGAGTCCCTGTCCTTTATTTTTGGAACCTTGGGTTTGGCTTTTTTGTTGGCAGGTTTAATCCTGTTTTCTCCTTGTTCCTTTGGACGCTTGTTCTTTGGGGGGTGTTGACCAGCAACTACAAAGGCGCAAGAGGAAAGCAATGAATGGCACTCCCTGAGCATAAGAAGCCCACAGCATATGATGTCACTGCTTCCCCTTGCTTTATGCCCAAATCCTTTTCATCCATAATCATAAGCCATAAAGCAATTATTTTTCTTCATCCATTCTACAATTTAAGACAACTTAAAGATATTATTCAAAACAGCAATATATAAACTAAAATTTGTATCCTATCTGCTCACAATGCAATAAATAAAACTTAAAATTGACTGTGAACAAACCTCTAACGAACGCACATACTCATGGAGATTAAGTGTTAATCTTCTTGCTCATTACTGAATGATGAATGGCTCAAAAATCACAAAGGAAGTTAAAAATATTCCCATAACTAAATGAAAAGGAAGCATAATACAATAAAAACCTCTGGAATACATTGAGAGCAGTCCTATGCAGGAAATTTACAGCTCTAAGTGCCTACGAAGAAGAAGAAGAAGAAGAAGAAGAAGAAGAAGAAGAAGAAGAAGAAGAAGAAGAAGAAGAAGAAGAAGAAGAAGAAGAAGAAGAAGAAGAAGAAGCACTAATAAACAGCTTCATGATGCAATTCAAAAAGTTGAAAAAGCAAGAATGAACCAAATCCAAGCCCAGTTGATGCCAAGAAATAATAAAATTCAGAGCATATATCAGTGCAACAGAAACAAAGAAAACAATACAAAGAATTGACAAATTTAGAAACTGGTTCTTGTAGCACAAATTCTAATTGGCATTAATAATAAAAACCCAGAGTCAGACATAGGTGTTAATGCTGAAGATCAGAGAAGCAGAGTGGCCAGCCACTAGTGAGATTTAACTCTACCATTGCTCAGACCAAAGAAGCAATCCTGTCCTCAGACTGCCTCCTCAGACAGCACTTAGCTCCTGTCCCTTTCCACCTTATATTCCTCTCCCTATCACTCTTGTCTCCATCGCCCTAGTGCTGGGATTAAAGGCATGGGATTCCAAGTTCTGGGGTCATCTTTGTGTGAGCTCAGTTTTTCTTTTAAACTGGACCAATTTCGTGTAGCCCAGGAGGCCTTGAACTAACAGAGATCTGTCTGTCCCCCAAGTCCTGAGATTAAAGGTGTGTGCCACCACTGCCTGGCCTCTAGTGGTTTAGCTCTGCACTCTGATTCTTAGGCAGCTTTATTTGTTAAAACACAAACAAAATATCACTACAGATTTTTTTTGAGACAGTAAACCAAATTGACAGATCCTTGGCCCAACTAACGAAAAGAAAGAAAGAGAAAACCCATATTTAAAAAATCAGAAGTGAACAGGGAAACATTTCAACAGACACCAAAAAATTCTGATTATATGGGAGTATTTCAAAAACATATTATGCCATTTAGCTATGAGAAATGGATGAATTTCTACAATCAATCAAGCAGTGGTATATCATTTGTATTTTAATAAATAAAGCTTGCCTGAAGTTCAGAGAGTAAAACTGATCAGCCTTACAGACCAGGCAGTTGTGACACACCCCAGTAGCCATACTAGTTTGCCATAGAAACCAGGGGGTAGTAGTGCACACCTTTAATCCCAGCCCTATGGAGGAATATAAGACAGGAGAAGACAGCTCTCACACACAGTCTCATTCTGAGATTCCTGGAGGCAGTATGACCATTTAGGACTGAGGTATAGGTAAGATCCAGTGGCCGACTGTTTTGCTTTTCTGACCTCTAGGTTGAACTCCAATTTCTGTCTCTGGGTTTTTATTAATTGTGCTACACAGCCAAACCACCAAAATTAAACTACGCAGAAGTCTAAAAAAAAATAGTAATGAAAAGTCTATCAGGTAAAAAGCCCATTGCTGTATGGGTTCACAGAAGAATTCTGTCAAACATTCAAAGAAGATCAAGCCTCCTTTATTAAAACAGAAGAAGAAGAAGAAGAAGAAGAAGAAGAAGAAGAAGAAGAAGAAGAAGAAGAAGAAGAAGAAGAAGAAGAAGAAGAAGAAGAAGAACAACAACAACAACAACAACAACAACAACAACAACAACAACTAAAAGGGCACTCCTAAACTCCCATGAGGCCAACATCACTTCAATACTCACACCAGGTAAATAGGACAAGAAAAGATAACTACAGGTCAACAGTTCTGATAAACGTAGACTCAAAAATATTCAATAAAGATTTACAAACAGAATACAGATATCCACCAAAAAGGTTATCCACCTTGACCAAGTTGGCTTTCTCCCTGAAATTCAGGGGTGGGTCAACATAGACAAGTCAATTAAATGTCATAAGCCACATAAAGGGACTTTTTAAAAAATTAAACTTAAAATAGACTTAAAACAAAAATCATGACAATAGACGCAGAAGAAGCTTTTTACAAAGTCCATGTGGTTTCGTGCTGAAACATCCTAGAATGCAGGGTGACAAGGAACATACCTCAAAACAGTAAAAGCAAAATGCGAGAAGCCCACAGCCAACATAACCCTAAATGGAGAAAAGCTTGACACAATTCCACTGAAGGCAGGAACAAAACTATCCCCACTTCTTTTCAGTATTATGCTATAAACACTAGCTGTAACAAGGAGTCAAAAGAAGGAAATTAAAAGGATACAAATAATGAAAAAAGTCAAATTATGCCTGTTTGCAGATGACATGATGCTATACATCAAAGATGACAAAAATTCTACCAGAAAACTCCTAGAAATAATAAACAAATTGAAAAACACGGCAGGATACAAAATCAGCTTTCACAAATCATTAGCTTCTCTACCCACCACCAACAAACACACAGAGGAGATCTTAGAAACACTCTGAATTAAGAGAAGCCTCAAAGAAAATCCTTAGGAAAAAAACTAACAAGGAAATAAAGGACTTCTACAATGAAAACCTTAAACCCCTGCACAGAAAGACACTAGAAAATAGAAAGACATCCCATGCTCTTGGGATGTATTTGACAAAGATGCCAAAATACATGCTGGAAAAAGAAAGCATCTTCTTCAACAGATGGCCTTGCGATACTGGATGTCCACATTAAACATATATCTATCTATTCACCTTGCACTAAAATGAACTCTAAATGGATCTAACATGGAGCCTGAAACCCTGAACCTGCTAGGAGAAAACATGGGCGATTCTCTACATGATACAGCTGTGGGAGAGGACTTTCTGAAAAAGTGAGGCCATGAATTTGAGAGAGAAAGGAGATGTAAATGGGAGGTTTGGAAGTGAGGAAAGGGAAGGGCTAAATAATGTAATTATATTATAATCTCAAAGAGAAAAAAAAACAATATGACTTCTGATGAACTATGTAAATTAGTTGTATTCCAAACGCTTTAAAGATGTTAAGAGTTTATATTGTAAGTAAGTAAAGTGGAATTCTTCACCAATGCATTTTGGAATACATTGTATAGAGAAATAGGTGGTGAAATTTTTAGGCCATGAATAGTACTGACTTCTGACCCCTGTTTGCTAAGTACTAGCTGACCAGCCCTGGGAAGTCTAAGCTGGGTCTTAGCTTCCTTATGTGTAGTATGAGAATGATGGTAATAGCCATTCATGGACTTAAAAATACTTGCTTTGATTCCATGTGCACAAGTGACTTGCCTGTTTGTAGGTAAGTGCACTGCGCCCATGTCTGGTGCCTGTGGAGGCTAGAAGAGGGGAAGGGATAACCTGAAACTGGAGGTACAGAAGGCTGTAAGTCACCACGTGCATGCTGTGATCTGAACCCGGGTCCTCTTGCAAGAGTAGCAAATTTTCTACTGCTCAGTTATCGTTCTAGTCCCTGTCTCATGGAATTTTGTGGTGATTGAGTTAACATAGTTTAAGTGCTGAGAACAGTGTCTGGATCCCCATTAACTGTCCACTAAGTGGTTCAATTTTGTGGCTGTTGCACGTACTCTATATGAACTGGAGGTAGAGTCAAAACTGTCTATCTGTCTATGTATGTATGTATGAATGTATCTCTATCTATCTATCTATCTATCTATCTATCTAACTATCTATCCATCCATCCATCCATCCATCCATCCATCCATCCATCCATCTATCATCATCATCTATCTCTCATATATCCCTACCACAGTTTCCTTTCCCTTTAATCCTCCCTGTCTCTAACTCCCCACAACCTCCTCTCTCTTCCACATCTACTCCTCCTCCAATTCCCTTCAGAAAAGAGCAGACTTCCCAAAAAATAACAACCGAACATGGCATAACAAATTACATTAAGAATAGACACAAAGTCTCATATCAAGGCTGGGAGAGGCAACCCAGGAGGAGGAGGAGGAAAAGGGTCCCAAGATCTGGGGAAGAGTCAGAGACACCCTGACTCCTACTGTTAGGAGTCCCACAAGAACAGCAAGCTACACAACCATAATGTATATGCCGAGGACCTAACACAGACCCATGCAGGCTCTGAGATCGTGGCTTGTCTCTGTGAGCCCCTATGAGCCCTAAGGCAGTCTATTTTTATTAATTTCCAGATTTCATGTAGCTCAACACAAGTCATCAAGAAGATAAAGAGCTAGATCCTATGTCTCCAAGTCCAGAGCTTTCTCTGGCCCACATCATCAACCTCTCCTTTCACTCAGAGATTAGCATGGTTGATGGTTTCTTCAAAACTTTTATTCTCTTAGCCTTGACCCATGGCATTGCCCTGTCTTGGGTCTTCCCCTAGTCCCTAACAACTCTATAGTCTCCTCTTCCTTTTCTTCTTCTCAGGCCTGAGCTGAGCCCCAGGGTTTAGGCACGCATCTTCTGAGGCTCCAGTATGTTGAACACTGCCCTGCTCCTGCCCTTGCCTTTAAATTTCTGCTCCAAACATTCTGTTTATTACTCAGCCTTTTACTTGGAATACTAACTAGCAGGTGCCTTAAATTTAATGATCCCAAACTGAACTATGGATGCCGCTCAGACCTGCTCCTTCTCCAGAATTCCCTTTATCCCTCGGCAGGGACTTCCTCCACCTGGCTGTTCCAGACAAATCCTTCACTCTCGCTATACTCCACCCCCCCCCGCCCCCGCTCC